ATAGAGAAAGTGATATAGTGGTAGCTGGAGAAGATGAAGTCCAGGGAGAACTTTTACAAAGATGGGAGAGACATGAGGAAGTTTGAATCCTCTTAGAAGAAGCCAATAGAGAGAAAAATAATGAAGATTCAGGAGATAAGTGCAACGGTGGGATCCAGAGCACAGATGGAGGAATTAGCTAGAGAATACCACTTCCAGCTTACTTACACAAAGGGAGTGAAAAATAGATAAGTATAAATGCATATTTGGTAGCAGAAAGTTAAAGAAGACGGCAATGGTTGGAGCTTGACCAATGTAACATGATTAAATGACTTTTCTTATTCCTAGCACTTACGTATTATATAAAGAGCAAGTATAGGTAGACCAACAAGATGTTGCTGTTAACAAGTAAAGGATAGTTTAAAATGGTCCCTTTTTGCCTTTCCCAATGTCTCACTAAATACACCTGAATATATATATTTAAAAAAGAATATGGTGAACAACATTGGACAGGTAGAGTCACAGTCAACATAATACCAAAATTATGAAAGAATTACACTAATTAAAGGTATTTGGAATTGAACTGAAGAAAACCTACTCAGGTCTTAAATGCCTTCTAGATTTTCATGTACCACTTTCATTTAGACTACCAGAACACCAGCTGGGGTAGTCAGGCAAGCGGAGGTATGGAAGACAGACCAAGCTGCAAGCAACCAAAAATTGAACAAAGAGTAGTGAATATAAACTATCCTTCCATCTACAGATTTAAGAAGAAAACAGTACTGCCATGTCAGTGGACAAACAGCCAGGTTGCAAAGGCAACTTTCTTTTCCTTTCTAAAAAAATTTATTTTAGATTCAGGGGGTACATGTGCAGGTTTGTTGCACAGATATATTGTGTGATGCTGAAGTTTCGGCTTCGAATGAATATGGCACCTGGATAGTAAACACAGTACCCAATATTTTTGAACCCCTGCCCCACTCCTGTCTCCTTTTGGAGTCCTCAATATCTGCTGTTCTCATATTTATATCCCCATGTATACCCAATGTTTAGCTCTGACGTATAAGTGAGAACATGCAATATTTGGTTTTCTGTTTCTGTGTTTATTCACTTAGAATAATGGCCTCCAGCTACATCCATGCTGCTACAAAGAAAATGATTTCATTCTTTTATGACTATATAGTATTCCAAGGTGTATATGTACCAAATTTTCTCTACTAAATCCACTGTTGATGGGCACCTGGGTTCATTCCATGTTTTTGCTACCGTGAATAATGTTGTGATAAACATATGAGTGCAGGTGTCTTTTTGGTAGAACAATTTATTTACCTTTGGGTTTAGATGCAGTAATGGGATTGCTGGTTTGAATGGTAATTCTATTCTTAGTTCTCTGACAAATTTCCAAACTGCTTTCCACAGAGGCTTAATTTACAATCCTATCAACAAGGTATGAGCATTCCCTTCTCTCTGCAGACTTGCAAACATGCTATTTTTTGACTTTTTAATAGCTATTCTGACTGGTGTGTGATGGTATCTTATTGTGGTTTTGATTTGTACTTTTCTGATAATTAGTGATATTGAGAATTTTTTCGTCTGTTGGTTGCTTGCATGTCTTCCTTTTGAGAAGTATCTGTTGATGTACTTTGCCCAAGAGCAATTTTCTTATTCAAATAAGAGAACTAATGTGTCTATTAAATTTAACAATACGGATAGTAGCATGTTAAAAGTCTCCCACTATTATTGTGTGGGAGTCTAAGTCTCCTTGTAGGTCTCTAAGAACTTGTTTTATGAATCTGGGTGCTCCTGTATTGGGTGCATATATATTTAGGATAATTAGCTCTTCTTGTTGCATTGATCCCTTTGCCATCATATAATGTGCTTCCTTGTCTTTTCTGATCTTTGTTGGTTTAAAGTCTGTCCTATCAGAAACTAGGATTGCAATAGCTGCTTTTGTTTTTGCTTTCCATTTGCTCAGTAAATACTCCTCCATCCCTTTACTTTGAGACTGTATGACTATTTGCACATTGGATGGGTCTCCTGAATACAGCACACTGATGGGTCTTGACTTTTTATCCAATTTTCCAGTCTGTGTCTTTTAATTGGGGCATTTAACCTCTTTACGTTTAAGGTTAATATTGTTATGTGTGAATTTGATCCTATCATTATGGTGCTAGCTGGTTATTTCGCATGTTAGTTGATGCAGTGTCTCCATGGTGTCACTGGTCTTTATATTATGGTGTGTTTTTGCAGTGGCTAGTACTGGTTTTTCCTTTCCATAATTAGTGCTTCCTTCAGGAACTTTTGTAAGACAGACCCAGTAGTGACAAAATCCCTCAGCAGTTGCTTGTCTGTAAAGGATTTTATTTCTCCTTCACTTATGAAGCTTAGTTTGGCTGGATAAAATCCTGGATTAAAAATTGTTTTATTTAAGAATGTTGAATATTGGCCCCCACTCTCTTCTGGCTTGTAGGGTTTCTCAGAGAAATCCATTGTGAGTCTGATGGGCCTCTCTTTGTAAGTAACCTGACCTTTCTCTATGGCTGCCCTTAACATTTTTTCCTTCATTTCAACCTTGTTGAATCTGATGACTACGAGACAGAAAATCAATGAGGATGTTCAGGACTTGAACTCAGCTCTGGACCAAGCAAACCTAATAGACATCTATTGAACTCTCTACCCCAAATCAACAGAATATACATCCTTCTCAGCACTACATAGCACTTATTCTAAAATTGACCACATAACTGGAAGTAAAACACTCCTCAGCAAATGAGAAAGAATGGAAATCATAACAGTCTCTCAGACCACAGTGCAATCAAATTAGAACTCAGGATTAAGAAACTAACTCAAAACCACACAACTACATGGAAACTAAACAACCTGCTCCAGAATGACTACTGAGTAAATAATGAAATTAAGGCAGAAATAACAAAGTTTCTTTTCTAATCGCAATGCTTAAGGTGTCTATTTTAGATTTTTCCCACTCTCTGATGTGGGCATTTAGTGCTATAAATTTCCCTCTTAACCCTGCTTCAGCTGTGTCCCAGAGATTCTGGTACATTGTCTCTTTGTTCTCATTGGTTTCAAAGTACTTTGAATGGCAATAATTAAAAGGTTAGAGAACAACAGATGCTAGAGAACATGTAGAGAAATTAGAACAGTTTTATACTGTTGGTGGGAGTGTAAATTAGTTCAACCAATGTGGAAGACAGTGTGGCAAATCCTCAAGGATCTAGAACCAGAAATACCATTTGATCCAGCAATCCTATTACTGGTATATACCCCAAAAATTATAAATCATTCTACTATAAAGACACATGCACATGTATATTTACTGCAGCACTACTTACAATAGCAAAGACTTGGAACCAATCTAAATGTCCATTAATGATAGACTAGATAAAGAAAATGTGGCACATATACACCATGGAATACAATGCAGCCATAAAAAGAATGAGTTCATGTCCTTTGCAGGGACATGGATGAAGCTGGAAACCATAATCCTCAGCAAACTAACACAGGAACAGAAAGCCAAACACCATGTTCTCACTCCTAAGTGGGAGTTGAACAATGAGAACACATGGACACAGGGAGGGGAACATCACACATTGGGGCCTGTTGGTGGGTGGAGGGCAAGGGGAGGAAGAACATTAGGACAAATACCTAATGCATGCGAGGCTTAAAACCTAGATGACGAGTTGATAGGTGCAGCAAACTACCATGGCACATGTATACCTATGTAACAAACCTGCATGTTGAGCGCATTTCAGCACATCAATCCCAGAAATTAAAGTTAAAAAAAAAATATATATATATATATATATATATATATGCCTATTGGTGACTGTATTAGGTTGGGTTCTCCAGAAACAGACCTTGAGGTAAGGGCAATTTTCTTATCCCATGTTATTATGGTTTGAATTGTGACCCCCAAATGATATTGTGAAGTCCTAACTCCTGGTACTTGTGAATGTGACCTTATTTGAAAATTGGGTTTTGCACATGTAATCAAGTTAAAGTGAGGTTATTAAGGTAAGTCTTAATCCAATATGACTAGTTTCCTTATAAGAAGACAATGTGGGCCGGGCGCTCTGACTCACACCTGTAATCCCAGCACTTTGGGAGGCCAAGACAGGCAAATCACAAGGTCAAGAGATCAAGGCTATCCTGGCCAACATGATGAAACCCCGTCTCTATTAAAAATACGAAAATTAGCTGGGCATGGTGGCACATGCCTGTAGTCCCAGCTACTCGGGAGGCTGAGACAGGAACCTGGGAGGCAGAGGTCACAGTGAGCTGAGATCGCACCACTGCACTCCAGCCTAGAGAGAGAGCGAGACTCTATCTCAAAAAAAAAAAAAAAAAAAAAGACAATATGAAGACACACAGGGAGAAAAAAATATGACAATAGAAGCAGAGTTTGCAATGATGAACCTGCAAGCCAAGGCCCAAAATGGACTGACAGCAATCACGAAAAGCTAGGAAGGGGCAAAGGATTCTCCCCAAAGGTTTCAGAGGGAGCGTGGCTCTTCTGACACCTTATTTTCAGCTTCTAGCTTCCACAACTATAAGACAAAATCTTTCTGTTGTTTTAAACCATGGAATATGTAGTAGTTTTACAGCAGGCTAGGAAGCTTATACATCCTATCTGTTGATAATTACCTAGTCTGGACAAATCTTCCTTTCTTTGAGGATTCCCGTGGAGAAAAAGAATAGAAGATATCTATGAACAACAACAAAAAAAAAAAAAAAAAAAAAAAAAAAAAAAAAAAAAAAAAAAAAAAAAGAAAAGAAAAAACAATGGAAAAGAAAAGCATCCAGGAAATCAAAATATATTACATAATGTACCTCTGAAATTATTTACTATGGGATTCGGTAGAAAATTTCAGGAAAATAGCTTTCATAAAAGAATACAAGAATTTACACCTTCACTACTTGTCTTTCAGAAACATGGAAAAAATAACTAAGCCAATTGCATTTTCAATAATTTATATTTATAAAATTAAATAATATTGATTTACCTGATTGAAGTCCAAAAAATAGTTCCTCATCTTGAAGCAGTTCTTCAACACAATCTAATCTCATGTTAATGGTTTCAATATCAACTAGAGGTTCTAATATATTAGAACGAAGTCGTCTACTCCCTCCAGGAGTCTTAGTATAATTTAAAACACCAAAGAGAGTGTGATTATTCCTTTGAAAACACAAGAAATGTCATTAAGAATACAAAAAAAAATGCAAGTTATAATTAAATAATCCTATAATCTACAGCAATGATGCTTAAACTTTATTGTGCATACAATTACATGAGTTTCTAATTTAGTATGTCTAAGAAAAAGCATGAGGATCTACATTTTGGGCCAGGCACAGTAGCTCACATCTGTAATCCCAACAACACTCTGGGAGGTCGAGGCAGGAGGAATGCTTGAACCCAGGAGTTCAAGACCAGCATGCACAACATAGTGAGACCCTGTGTCTACAAAAAATTAAAAATTAACTGGGCACGGTGGCACAGGCCTGCAGTTCCAGTTACTAAAAAGGCTGATATGGGAGGACTGCTTGAGCCCAGGAGGTCGAGGCTGCAGTAAACCATACCTGTGCCACTGTACTCTAGTGTGGTGACAGAGTGATATCTTGTCTCAAAAAAAAATGTTTTTAGATATTTTTTGAACAAGCTCCCAAATAAGATATTGGTCAGTGAACTATACTTTAACAAGGATGAATAGAATCTCCTTGCACTTTATGACTCTATTAGTTACAATATTCAGAATAATATAAAGTTTTCTAGTCTATGCATTCCATCCATAATAGCAAGATATCAATAATATGTCCTTAAGGGTGGAGGAATTTTTATACTGTTATAATAAGTATTTACTATAATCATCTTGCTCTAATGACAAGAGAATTTCATAATTTCTAAGCGATTTATAAAGAAACGAGCTATTATAAAGAATGCTGGCCAGGCACAGTGGCTCATGCCTGTAATTCCAGCACTTAGGGAGGCAAAGGCAGGTGGATTACTTGAGGTTAGGGGTTCAAGACCAACCTGGCCAACATGGTGAAACCTCGTCTTGACTAAAAAAAAAAAAAATACAAAAATTAGCCAGGTGTAGTAGCAGGCACCTGTAATCCTAGCTTCTTGGGAGGCTGAGCCATGAGAATCACTTGAACCCAGGAGGCAAAGGTTGCAGTGAGCCAAGATCACACCACTGCATTCCAGTCTGGGCTACAAAGTGAGACTCTATATAAAACAAAACAAAACAAAAACAAACAAACAAACAAAAATAATGTATTTAGTTGAACTATTTATTAGATAACTTTGTATAATACATGTAAAAAATCCAATTCATTTTAATATTTAACAAATATTTTTGAGCCCTTATGGTATTCAGAACTCTATGCTAAACACTGGGCATGCAAGACGGACATGATTACTATCTTCATGGACCTTACAACCTAGGGGCTGACTGCCAATAACTTTTTTTTTTTTTGATACAGTCTTGCTCTGTCACCAAGGCTGGAGTACAGCAGCACTATCTAGGCTCACTGCAAACTCTGCCTCCTGGGTTCAAGTGATTCTCACGCCTCAGCCTCCAGAGTAGCTAGGATTACAGGAGCACTACCACGCCTGGCTAAATTTTGTATTTTGGTAGAGACAGGGTTTCACCGTGTTGACAAGGACGGTCTCGAACTCCTGGCCTCAAGTGATCCACCCATGTTGGCCTCCCCACAGTGCTGGGATTACAGGCATGAGCCATTGCGCCCAGCCATTGCCAATAACTTTTGTCAGTTTACTGGCCATGACTGAAGACGGACAAAGAGCAAGGGGAAATAAACAATAAAAACACTAAAAAACACATAATCATATCAAGGGAATAATTTCAGGTACAGAGACAGCTAAAACAAACAAACAAGAATATATAGAGAAGGACCAGGAGGGTAGCTTTAGTTAGGCTGATTGAGAAAGACCTTTCTACGTATTTGACAGTAGAGTTGAGACCTGAATGAATATAAAAGAAGGCAGCAATGCAAAGATGATGATGGGATGGGAATGATGACAACAATAATGAGGATAGCTAACATAAAATGACCCTTAGTATGTACCCAGAATTCTTCTAAGTGCTTTAAATGTATTAACTTGTTTAATTCTAATAACCATGTTATAAGACAGACACTACTATTGGCCAAATAATTTTACAACATAAGGAACTGAAGTATAAGAAAATTAGGTAATTTGTCCAAGATTTGCAAGTAAGCAGCATAGCAGCAATTTAAGCCCAGGAAATCGGGTTCCAGAAAAATAAAATTAAGATTGGTGGAGCTGTGTAAGAATAGAGGGAGATGAATGAAGAGGCCAGGACATGGAAGTCCTTGTAGGCCAAAGAGTCTGGATTCTACTCTAAATGTAAGGAGGGCCACTGGAAGGTTTTAAGCAGAAGAGTTACAGGATCTGATTTCTGGATTAAAAGGATATGACAGCCCGACTACGATTAATATGTTGAGAATAAACTAATTACAGGAGGGTAAGAAGAGGGCAGAAAGCTGGAAGGCTATTATAGTAGTCCATGCTAAAGATGACAGAGGTTTGGGTTAGGGTGATAGCCTTGGAAATGGTGAAGTGATCCAATACTGGTATGTACTCTGAAGGTTGGATAAAGAGGATTTTCTGATGGATCAAATCTGAGGTGTGAAAGGAGAGGAAACAAGAATGACTTTCAAGATTTAGTCATCATACTGCCAGATTTTTGTCATACCAATTTAAACAAATTTTTAGGGAACAATGCATATCATCAACTGGCTGGGGGTCTCCCATCACATGTACAATTTTTTTTTGAGAATTTATTTCTGCAGGAACAAAGGAGGTGACGGGCACACATAAACCTCCCATTTATTGTATAAATCAATGAATGTAACACTGTATGGAACAGCTGACAAGCCTATGGAAGCACTGGAGCTATTCAGATAGTTCAGTAGGCAGAATATCCATCTTATAACCTGAGATTCTTTCATTTAAGTCTGTGAAAAGACTTTTTAGTTATTCCTTTCAACTATAATACTAACTCCTGGAGGCTAGATATTCTATCATTTAAGTCTCTGTATCCCTAATATATAGCAGGAAGTCAAACAATGTTTGACAATGCTAATGACAAATAATGATAAAAGTATGAAACATGACAAGGTAAAACTGAATATAAAACACTCTGTAATAACTATCAGGTTGGTCATTGACTTTCTATGCTATGATAACATAGGATATCGTAAAGTTAAAGACAGGGTAATTTTAAGTCATAACTTCTATAGTTTTGATTTGTAGTGCCCTAATGACGAGTAATGTTAAGTATCTTTTCAAGTACTTACTGGCCATTTGTTTACCTTCTTTGGGAAAATATCTATTAAGATCCTTTACCCAGTTCTGAACTGTTTTTTTTTTTATTATTTATTTAGTATAAATATCTTTTTAAAGCTTGATTTTGGTGAAATATCTGACCAGTTCAGCAACAACAGTATAATAATCTAAAACATGCTTATTCAATATTTCTCCACCATTAGCTGGGCATGGCAGTTTGTGCCCATTGTTTCAGCTACTTGGGAGGCTGAGACAGGAGAATCACTTGAGCCCGGAAGTTCCAGACCAGCCTGGACAAAATAGCAAGACCTCACCTCTTAAATAAAATTATCCATCAAATAATTTAAAGAACTTTAGGCTGAGTACAGTGGTTCATGGCTGTAATTCCAGCACTTTGGGAGGCTGAAGTGGGTGGATAACTTGAGATCAGGAATTTGAGACCAGCCCTGCCAATATGGTGAAACCCCATCTCTACTAAAAATACAAAAATTAGCCAGGCATAGCAGCACATGCCTGTAGTCCCAGCTACGTGGGAGGCTGAGACAGAAGAATTGCTTGAACCCAGGAGGCAGAGGTTGTAGTGAGCTGAGATTGCACCACTGCACTCCAGCCTGGGCAACAGAACTAGACTCTGACTCAAGAAAAAAAAAAAGAACTTTAAAGTAACTATTTATAGAAAAATAAAATAAAATATACCAATGTATTTTATAAGAAAAAAAATGGATGATCTTACCTACAGTCTTGATTATTAATTAACAATTCAAGGTTTTGGGCTGATGATGAATCTATCATGGCCGTCTGTTCACTACCCTGGAAACAAACCTTCAGCGATTTTGGTGCATAAACTGAATTTTGAATAAATTCAACATATTTTAACAAAGCTGCAACAGCTGCAAGGCAGTAATACCTAAAAGATGACCAATAATTCATCACTATAAGACTTTAGTATAAAAAATTATATACTTCGCCTTAATTTAAGAAAAATTATAAATATTTGCATAGCATTGCTTAAACTCAAAAAGAAAAGGTACACTAGGTATTTCATATTTTTTGAAAACTAGGTAAATAACCTCTAAATCATAAAAATTAATGAAAATAAATAATTTATTCAAGTCTGACACTTAAGGGACTTTAGATTCCAATAAATCCTGTGTTAAGGATAACATTCAACCAAAGGTAATTTGTATCAATTTTTGATGTACCATTCTAAATATTCAAATATTGGAAATATCTGATACTTTATTATTCACAGACAAGGTCTGGCTGTCATCCAGGCTGGGGTGCAGTGGCGTGATCTCAGCTTACTGCATCCTCCACCTCCCAGACTCAAGCAATCCTCCTGCCTCAGCCTCCCAAGTACCTGGGATGACAGTCATGTCCCACCACACCCAGCTAATTTTTGTATGTTTGGTAGAGACAGGGTTTTGCCACATTGCCAAGGCTGGTCTCAAACTCCTTGGCCTTCCAAAGTGCTGGAGTTTCAGACTTGAGTCACTGTGCCCAGCCTGGAAAAATCCGGTACTTTAAAGGTAGAATCAGAAGTTCCCAATGTATAGAAAACAATGTTATGATCTCGGTGAGAATAATGATTGTTATTAGCTGAGTAAACATGTAATCCAATCTGGCTCAAAGAAAGTATCTATTTGGTATGTTCTGGGAAATAACATGGTATATGCTTCCTAGAACATTTGGTATGTTCTATGAAATGATATCCAAAAATATCATTCTCCATCTCCTGCTGGATCTTTTTGGAGTAAAGACAGAAAGTAACAGGAACACAGCTTTACCTGTGTTTCACTTCTATGCCCACACATTTGCAGTTTACTGTAGCTACTTCAGCTTTTCATTCCAAAGTAAAGTAAGCAGCAACCATAATTAATACATTATGACAAATTTGGAGGAATTCTGTATAAATTAAGTTAGCAATATATGCCTTGTGTATAAATTTTAGTTAACTATTTCATTATTTCAGTAATTACTATGTATTATGAACCAGGTGATTTTCCAGGTGGTAGGAATGCAGCAGAGAACAAAACAGACAAAAGTCCCTGCCCTTGTGGAACTCGCACTAGGGATTTATTTACTTTCCTTAAGTTATAACTTACTTGATGTGATATTGGTAGCTGTGAGCTAGTAAAAAAATAAATAAACACCTAACTTACTTGGACTGAACCTCCATTAGGACTGTGCTGAATTCTGCTATGCATAACTGTTCAATGTACTCTAGTCCTTTTGTTTCATTGAAGTATTTCCTTTGGATAGTAGTGAAATTAACATTCTGAAAAGAAATTTTAATTTCAAATTAAACTTTTAAGTGCCATGTGCTTGCTCAGAACTGCTTTCTTAGGCACATGCTGGTAGCTAGGGAGGTGGCTTAAATATTGTATAAATATTTTAATATTTAAATAAGAACTTTTCTTAGATATTTATATAAAAAGAATGATTATCCTTGCTAAGTGAATCATAGTACAGTTTGTACTTCTAATTAGACCTCACTCTTATGAGTTTTAATGGAATATGTTAGATACAATAATAAAAAATAAACATGACAGTCTATGCCTTTTAGTAATTGTACTGTATAGAGACAACATCTCACAGTTTTATATTCATCTTTCCATAGTCTATTATAATTGAGAAAGGGTAGATTCTTATAATGCACCAGGTAAAAAGATGAAAACACCAATTCTGCCCAGCAAATCTATGATACATTATTTACATAAAGTGAATGGAATTTATTTAGAAAAAAGAGAAAACAATAATAAAACTTTTTTCTTTTTGAGACAGGTTCTCACTCTGTCGCCCAGGCTGGAGTACAGTGGCATGATCATGGTTCACTACAAACCTGAAATCCAGAGTACAAGCAATCTGCTTGCTTCGTCCTCCTGAGTAGCTGGGACTACAGGCATGCACCATTATATCTGGCTAATTTTTTTTTTTCTTAAGCAGAGACAAGTTCTCACTATGTTGCCCAGGCTGGTCTCAAACTCCTGGACTCAAGTGATTCTCCCATATCAACCTCCCAAAATGCTGGAATTACCAGTGTGAGACATCAGCACCTGGTTGATAATGAAACTTTTAAAAAGTGTGAAGCTGTTAAGTAAAACGTTTACCCCCTTTCAATAAAACTAATGGGTAAGAAAAGGTAATATTATATTAGTGGACTTATGTAAGAGATGTTAAGAATGAAAAAGATCATGACCAAGTGGAGAATGTGTTATGTGCCAAGATTGTTTTAAAAGTTACCTCATTTAATCTTCATAATAATCCTATGACATATCTTATTAACTCCGGTGTTCACATAAATAAAATTCTGAAAAATCAAGTAACTTTTCTAATATCATACAGTTGATCTCTGCCAAAGCTGAGACTCAAATTTAGATTTCCTTGAAGTCCATTTTCCTTCTACGTCATATTGCTTTTGATTTAATGAAGGTCCTTTTTTTTTTTTGAAAGGAGTCTCACTATATGTTGCTCAGGCTAGATTTGGACTACTGGACTCAAGTGATCCTCCCACCCTGGCCTCTCAAGTAGCTGGGACTACAGACACATGTCACTGTACCTGGCTAATGAAGCTAAGTGTAGTCATAATAGCAATAATGATAATAATAATATTGAATATTCCCTCTGCTTAAAATACTTTTACCTCAAATGTCTCCATATTTTGCTCCCTCCTCTATTCAGGGCTTTGCCCAAATGTAACCTTATCAATGAGGCCATCTCTGATTACCATATATAAAATATAAATTCTCTAGGAGGTTGGTACCTCCTATTGTCCCTAATTTACTGATGAAAAACTTGAAGCTCAAAGAAGTTAAGTGTCTTGCACAAGGTCATTTAGAGTCAAGATTTGCAACCGGGACAATCTGAGTTCTCTATTCTTAAGCACTATGCTATACTGCCTTATTATTTAAATGTACTGAAATTATGTTGTTTTTGCCTTTGGAGGACTTATCCCCCATTCCATGTGATTCTGGTAGGCCTATATATTATAGTATTCTGTGTCCCACAACAAAAGGATTAGTCAATCATAGTGTATCTACCCCCAGAAATAGTGATTAATCTAATGTGTGGGAAAAATGAACAAAGCAAGATCAATCAGCATCCTTCCCTGGAATTCATGCATGGACACTGGAATAAAGAAGTTATTTTCCCTTTGGATTAGCTAAGCTGAGATATCAGCCTGGAGCCATCAGCAATCATCTTCTTAAATCTCATAGAAGTAAACTATCTGCAGTAGATAAAGGATGATACCGGGAATGAGAGTAGTGATAAAGATTCTCTCCTTGACCAAACTCTACCTGGGCTACTATAAGCCTTCTTCTAAACTAATCCTCCATCTGACCTATAAAGACTTGAACAAAACACTAACATTGTTTCTAACTGCTCAAAGCCACATCCCTGGGAGACCTTAGCGTTCTTAAAGTGCCTGCCTAAGAAAACTCAGGCTGCCAATAACAATTTACTGTTCATTCCACTTAGCACCTAAAGACAGGATCCTTGTCTCCTATCCTCTGTGGGAGAGTAGGAGCCTAACTTCAATAAGTGCCAATTAGCAAACCCAGATAGGTTTCACATGGACCAATCCCACCTTTCTACTTTTTGTATAATAATTTTTTTATTTCCCTGACTCCTGTGCTTTTACCCCTCCCTATTCCCTTATTCTCCCATTAAAATGGTCAGTACAAACTGAAGTTCAGTTCAGTCCACACTGGACTATTTTCTCTATTGCAATAGCATAATACTGATTAAAATATTTAGCTAGTGTTTGGTTTTGTTTACCTTAGACAGTAGGAATAAGATCTATTCAACCATTGACTTCCCAGTTACATAGGGCAATACATTTCCTTTTTTGCCTAAGCTAGTTTCCATTAGATTTCTGTTATTTACAGCCAAAAGAATTATAAGGCCTAATTGTAACAACAACAATAAAATATGAATGAAAGTTGGAAAGGTATGGATAAATAGGGGTGATGAAAAGTATAAAGTTATAAAGGAAAAAGAACAGATGAAGTGATTTGTCTAATAGAGACAATAGATTTAGCATACAGAACATCTCTGGCAATGAGGCAGAGACAGCTCATCTATACAGGATCTCTAAGAGTACCATGGCAAATCTTATATGACTGCAAATGCTGAATATATTAGAAACAGGAAAGGAACTCACTGGACTCTAAACCTCAGCTTGGTTCCTAATGTGTTAAAGTAAAAAGTCTACAAACATAACAAAATATAGTATATGCTGAAAATAATTTGCACTCCTAAGAAATTATTCCAACTGCAATGCTGTCTACTTTGGAACCACAGCCCCATTCTAGGAAACAGAGATTTTTGCTAGAGGGAAGGAATAAATTATTAATATGTGGTGGGAAGGCCCTAATTGAGGAGAAGAGCATTTGTTGGATAAGGTTCCACAGTGCTCACCCACCACAGTCCCACAGATGGAGACTAGAATAGCAGGCTAATAGTAAAGCAGTACATGTTACCAGGGGAAGCTGAAACAATGCTGTAATACGAATTAAATTCCCAATAGAAAAAAGTACTTGCTGATAGGTGCTATCCCCTAGAAGGAGAAGAGCTTCAATTTCAACCAGTCTGACAGCACAATAAGTAGTTTCCAGGAAGCTACACGTAAGGGAAACCTATGTTTTCTCTATTGGCCTGCCCCTTGTAGACTCTGAGAAACTTCCTTATTACCTAAAACATTTTTTTCTGTTCTTTAAAGTAGATCAAGGGTGTCAAATCAAATAAGAAAATTCCCTATCATTTTTATTATCTGTATTAATAGTCCCCTTAGATTAGGATTTATATTTAGTGACTTTAGGACACTAAATATAAAGTTACTAAAATTATTGTCCTTTATAATGATATTATTAAATAAATTTTAAATAAAATGTTACAAACAAGAATAAAAATCACTTACCTTGAAATTTTCTGTGATCAGAGTGAACAACTTGGTGGAATTCCCCACAGCACAAGCAGTATTTGACATTATTATTTCCAAAGGTGATAAAATTTTGAGTTTAGTGATCACCTGAAATCATTTGAATAAACAGTTTCTTAAATATAAGCTTAGGAAATAAAAAAGTTTCATATTTTTCTGAGATAAGTGTTCAAAATTAATTCATAGATACACAAAACTATATCTGTTCTAAGGATATATTTCAATTAAAATATGTTTCTAGCCAGATGCGGTAGTTCACACCTGTAATCCCAGCACTTTGGGAGGCCAAGGCAGGCAGATGACTCGAGGCCAGGAGTTAGAGACCCACCTGGCCAACACGGTGAAACTCTGTCTCTACTAAAAAAAAAAAAGAAAATACACAAATTAACCAGGTATGGTGTTGCATGCGTGTAATCCCAGCTACTCAGGAGTCTGAGGTATGGGAATGCTTGAGTCCAGGAAGCAAAGGTTGGAGTGAGCCGAGCTCACACCAGGCGCCACTGCCAGCCTGGGCAACAGAGGGAAACTCTGTCTCAAAAAGAAACAGACAGACAAACACCACCACCTCCACCACCTCCATCAACAAAATATATAATATATATGCAAATATATATATTTCTAATAGTAATATATTAAACATATATCTTATATAATTACTAAAATACTGTCATAAAATAGGCTGTTTTACTCACAATAGTTTGTAATAGCTGTTAAGTTCGAAAACTAATTTGAACTTATCAAATATGTATTCCCAAAATAAAACTTTTGTAAATAAATTCTTATACTTAATATTTTCTCCATCTCCATGAAAAATATATGTATATCCAATAAGGGTAACTAAGGGCTGGGCGCAGTGGCTCATGCCTGTAATCCCAGCACTTTGGGAGGCTGAGGTGGGTAGATGACTTGAGGTCAGGAGTTCACGACCAGCTTGGCCAACGTGGTGAAACCTTGTCTCTGTAAAAATATAAAATTTAGCCAGGTGTGGTGGCACGCACCTGTAATCCCAGCTACTTGGGACTAGCTGAGGCAGGAGAATCACTTGAACCCAGAAGGCGGAGGTTGCAGTAAGCCGAGATTGCACCACTGCACTCCAACCTGGGCGACAAAGTAAGACCTNAAAAAAAAAAAAAAAAAAAAGGGAGGGTGGGGAACTACGGCAACACAATCAGTATGGCCACACTGGTACAGTTTAAGTGTTGAAAAGTACAGAAACACAAATGAAAAATGTCTGCCTTATGCCTTAGCTTTTCATGAAATAGGTTGTATTTCTTAGAACTATTCTAAACACAGAAATTCTCAATTTCTCTAACATTCCTGTTTTTTAAAAACTCTTTCCTACTCTTTTGAAATTATATTAAAGTATAAAATACCCACAGATGAAGTTAGTATGCAATACTAATATCATTAAGGTTGTTAGCTATAATAAAAAATTAATTATTAGGAAAGGGAAGTGTACATACTAGAGGACCATAAAGAGAAACTAAAGGAAGATAATAGAAAAAATAATGAAACACTAGAAATAAAACACTAGATCACATCTTCAAAATCATAATTGGCTAGGTTCGGTGGTTCATGCCTATAATGCTAGCACTTTGGGAACCTGAGGGGGGCAATTCAGCTTCTAAGGGGGCAAGATCACTTGAGTCCAGGAGTTTGAGACTAGCTTGGGTAACAGAGCAAGACTTCATCTATACAAAAAAATTTAAAAATCAGCTGTGTGTGTTGGTGAGTGCCTGTGGTCCCTGCTACTCAAGAGGCTGAGGTGGGAGGCTACAGTGAGTCATGATCATGCCACTGCATTTCAGCCTAGGCAAAAGAGCAAGACCTTCCAAAAATAAAATAAAATAATAATTGGGTCAAATAACATAGAAATTAGGAGGTAATCTACCTCTACCTGAAAGATCATGCAAATTCCCATGACAATATGCAAGTAGCCCAAATTAATGATGAGTGATATAAAATAAAGGCAAAAGGCAAAATAAGAAGAGACAGCAAAAAGTTAAGAGGTTAAATTATGACTTTCCTAGTTAAGAGGCTAAATTATGACTTTCCTAATTTTGACTTTCCTGAATTCAGCATTTAAGATTTCAACATTAAGGGTTTTGATCTTTCAAGATTGACCATCGGGATTATGACATTTGGGATTGTCTTTAAGGATTGTGATCAGTACGACATTATCACATATATTACCTTTGGAATAAGTCCAGAAATTATTAATTTGAAGATGTTAATTTTAAAAACTAATAGTAGCAATAGCTTATTCAAGCAACAGTAAAACACATTCTTTTTAGGACAAAATATGTTTAAAAATAAAAATCAAATCTAATTTTATTTTAATTCAGAGTATTTACATTGACGTAATAATGAATAACCTTTATTCTATCAAAAAACTAATCAGGAAACTGACTTTAAAATCTAGATACTGCCTAGCAGAGCAACCATTTTCTAGGATTATTAATACTTACCTTTGCATATGTTGTGTTGTCTGCAAACTGGGATAGTATAATTTGGGGGTTTTTTAAATCAATACTTGCCATTCCTATTTCACCTCTGGCAAGTCCTCTCCCTTCTACAACAGCTACAATAACTGATGGGGAGTGTGCAGAAATCACAGATGAGGATGAAGCTGTAAATTTTTAAATAAAATAATATATAAACATTGATAATAATCATTTGTATTTTTTTTTTTTTTGAGATGAAGTTTTGCTCTTATTGCCCAGGCTGGAGTGCAATGGCTCACTGCAACCTACGCCTCCTGGGTTCAAGTGAGTCTCCTGCCTCAGCCTCCCAAATAGCTGGGATTACCGGCATGCGCCACCATGCCCGGCTAATTTCTGTATTTTCAGTAGAGACAGGGTTTCACCATGTTAGTCAGACTGTTCTCGAACCTCTGACCTCAGGTAATCCACCCGCCTCAGCCTCTCAAAGTGTTGGGATTACAGGTATGAGCCACCAAGCCTGGCCTAATAATAATTATTTCTAATTCTTTCACATAATTTCTTAAAGCACCTAGTCTATGACATAGCTACTGTTTAACAGACAAGGAAATAACCATTTCTTTTCCTCATCAAAAAATAACTTTTCATTACCAGAACAAATAAAAATGTTAATTCTCAGAGTATTTTACCAAAATTTGACTTCACATTTAGAAATAACAAATTTTGGTCGGGCGCGGTGGCTCACGCCTATAATCTCAGCACTTTGGGAGGCCGAGGCGGGTGGATCACGAGGTCAAGAGATCGAGACCATCCTGGTCAACATGGTGAAACCCCGTCTCTACTAAAAACTACAAAAAATTAGCTGGGCATGGTGGCGTGTGCCTGTAATCCCAGCTGAGGCAGGAGAATTGCCTGAACCCAGGAGGCGGAGGTTGCAGTGAACCAAGATCGCGCCATTGCACTCCAGCCTGGGTAACAAGAGTGAAACTCTGTCTCAAAAAAAAAAAAAAAAAAAAAAAAAAAAAAAAAAAAAAAAAGAAATAACAAATTTTACATTGTCTTATTTTCTATTTTGTTGGAATGGAGTCATAAAATGAACACTAAACTTGGTGTCAGAAAACAGATTATTTACCTTAATACTCTGTAATTTAAAAGCTATTTGGAGGCTGGGCCCAATGGCTCATGTCTATAATCCCAGCACTTTGGGAGTTGAGGTGGGCGGATCACCTGAGGTCAGGAGTTTGAGACCAGCCTGTCCAACATGGCAAAGCACCGTCTCTACTAAAAATGCAAAAATTAGCCGGGCGTGATGGTGCATGCCTGTAATCCTAGCTACTGGGGAGGCTGAGGCAAGAGAATTGCTTAGAGTTGAGAGGTTGCAGTGAGCTGATATCGTGCCACTGCACTACGGCCTGGGCGACAGAGCGAGACTTCGTCTCATAAAATGAAAAAATGAAAAAATAAAATAAAAGCTATTTGGGGCTGGGCATGGTGGCTCACCTGCAATCCTGGTACTTGGGAAGGCCAAGGTGGGAGGATTACTAGAACCCAGGAGTTTGAGATCAGCCTGGACAAAATAATAAGACCTCACCTCTACAAAAAAATTGAAAAATAGTTGGGTGTGGTGTTGTGTACCTGCATGGTGCCAGCTACTGAGGAGGCTGAGATGCGAGGCTCACTTGAGATCAGGAGGTTGAAAGTGCAGTGAGCTGTGTTTCATGCCACTGCACTCCAGCCTAGGTGACAGAACAAGACCTTCTCAAAAAAAAAATATTAAACATTATATAACTATGAATTCCAATTATGAGATACCTGTGTGATATAATGAAATATCCAGCATGTATTAGTGCTTACTAAGTGTCAAGAATGTTCTAAGTTCTTTGATTAAATTAACTCACATAATTGTTACAACAATCCTATCAGATAGGCACCATTATTTTCTCCACTTAGTTATAAGGAGACCGAGGCATGAATGTAACTGGTGGAGACAGCATTTGTAGCCAAGCAGTCTAGCTCCACAGCTTGTGCTATGAACCACTACAGACATTATTGATTTGGAGATCTGTGCCTTACAAACTATGAATGCTCAGGTAAATTTTTTAAACTTCTAAAGCTACCATTTCTTCAACTATAAACTAGAAATACCAAACTTTTCCACGATTATTATAAGAATTAAATGCAATCATATAGAAATGTTTTATAAAGTATGGGAAATTATGCAAAAATATGGGCATTATTCACATATGAAAAAAGTCAGACTAAAAAATTCTAAAATTTTATTTTAAAAGAAGCAAAATAGTCTTTTATTCCCTTGTCAACCTTTTAATTAACTACTTTTCCTCCTTCTTTTCCCTCCCTGACCTAGATTCATTTCTTCTTCCATTCTTCTATTACAATGCCCATGAAAAACTTAGATATTTATGCTACCTGAGTCAGCAGTAAACTTAAGGATTCACTTAAAAATCTATGTGTTCAAATCTCAGAAACCTTTTCCCCATGAACGTTATGTAATAAATGATGGTTAAGTTTATATTAGATCTACAGGAGTCAGTTTAAACTCTGTAATAGAATATGACCTTCCTATTTTTAATTAGAAAATAAATACTAAGTTCCAGGGGAAATTTAGTACACAAAAAAGACATCTCCTCTAAGGTTCTAAAAGCACATTTATGCTATTATCTCTCTGTTGTAAATAATATAATAATGAGCATCCTAACGCATAAAGCTTTTTTCTGGGTTTCTTATTATTTCCTTAAAATGCACCCTTAGAACTCAAATTACTGCAACAAATTACTGAAACACCATTTTTTTTAAGGAGCTCAGATATATTGTCAAATTTCTTTTGAGAATGGACTGATTTTTAATTTCATCAATAGTGTATGAGGAAAGCCAATCTTACTGTATCCTCATCGTTACTAACTTTTAGAATTTATTGTGAATATAAGTATTGGCTAATTTAATGGACTGCCACTTAAATCTATATTTTTAAAGTACTATTGAAATTGAACATAATTTAATCTATCCATTGTTATCTCTTTTGTTTTCTTTTTAGAGATGTTTACAACATTTTATATAATGTTTACTAGGTCTTAATGTTTTTCAGTATGTTTTTATGAGAATTGTATAAATCAATGACAATAATATATAGTTTCTACCAATCTTGATATTTTTGCTATCTCAAAAATTTCCATTTTTGTACAATCTTTCTCTGTATAATTTCTCTCATTGCTTTTCTGCTAAGAAATTCCTCCTTCATTGAGATATTCAATATTCATTATTATTTTCTTTTTTCTTTTTTTTTGAGACAGAGTCTTGCTTTGTCACCAGGCGCCAGGCTGGAGTGCAGTGGCGCGATCTCAGCTCACTGCAATCTCCGCCTCCCAGGTTCAAGCAATTCTCCTGCCTCAGCCTCCCGAGTAGCTAGGACTACAGACGCACCACCACGCCCAGCTAATTTTTATATTTTAGTAGAGGCCGGGTTTCACTATGTTGGCCAGGATGGTCTCGATCTCTTGACCTCATGATTCACCCATCTCGGCCTCCCAAAGTGCTGGGATTACAGGCCTGAGGCACCACGCTCGGCCTCATTATTATTTTCTTATAATTTTTTTTGAGTTTTTCTTTTCTTTTTTGAGACAGGATCTGGCTCTGTCACCCAGGCTGGAGTGCAATGGCCTGTAATCATGGCACACTGCAGCCTCGAACTCCTGAGTTCAAGTGATCTTCCCACCTTAGCCTCCTGAGTAGCTAGGACCACAGGCGTGCCACCACACCAGGCTAATTTTAATTTGTTTGTAGAGACAAGGTCTCACTTTGTTGCCCAGGCTGGACTGCCTTCAAGCAGCAGTCCTCCCATCTTAGCCTCCCAGTGTTGGGATTATAGGCATGAGCCACCATGCACAGCCTGTTCATTTTGATCTCTCATCTTTCAGCAGTACATTTGGTTGTTTATCATGACCAGAATGAGAAATGGTCAGAAGTACAGATTTAGATTCATTTATAAGCAGTTGCTAATGGTTTACCTAGATGGCTGGACTTGGAAGGAACGTGATTGAAAGACTGGTGACAAGAACATTTGAGGAAGAAGTATATAAATGGATTTCTAAGATCGATCATAAAATTTAAAATATTTGCATCCTATGTGAATGTCCACCAAAGGATATCCACTGAAGAGGAAATTCTTAATCAAGAGAACAAAATAATGCAACCTATAAAATATCAGTTAGCTTCTTATTTCAATCCTCTGTAAAGTATCTATTGGTTCAGTACAACTATAATCTCAACCAAAACCTCAATGTGTTTTTTGGTAGAACTTGTAAAATTGGCCCAAAATTTATATGGAAGAGCAAAGGACCAAGATGAACCAAGACTCCTCTAAAGAAGAAGGTGGCTTGTGGAGGGTAAGGGTGGTAGGGCTGTCCTACTAAATATCAAATGTCGAGATTTATTATAAAGCTAAAGATGATGTGATACTGGCACACAGCTAGACATAATGACCCAGGGAAGTTAAAAGAGAACTGGAAACATAGAAACAAACAGGAAATTAATCAAAATATTTAGTATTCTGAATATAAAACAGTATTGCTAGAAATCCAGAAACATAAGCCTAAATAAAAATGAGTAAAAGACATGAACATTAATTTCACAGAATATTAAAAATATATAGTCCCAAAGCACACAAAAAGATAATCTCACTAGTAATCAGGAAAATGCAAACTCATATATGTAGTATTTTACAACTGTTATGTTGAAAAATATTTTAAGAGTCTGACAATATCAAATGAGGTAGACTTCTACATATTATTAAGAGTATACCATAATAACCAGTAAATTAACCAATAAAATTTATTATGATTATGATTATTGGCTAATTTGATAACCTTATGATTATGATGTTTATTATTAAATTAGCCAATAATCATAATCATAATAAATTTTAGAAGTTAGTAATCATGAGGATACAGTGAGACTGGCTTTCCTCATAAACTGTTGATGGAATTAAAAATTAGTCCAGTTCTCAGTAGAAATTTCGAAATATATCTGAGATCCTTAAAAAAAAGGTAATTTTGGCCAGGCACACTGGCTCCCGCCTGTAATCCCAGCACTTTGGGAGGCCAATACAGGCGTATCACCTGCAGTCAGGAGTTCGAGACCAGCCTGGCCAACATGGCAAAACCCCGTCTCTACTAAAAATACAAAATTTAGCCAAGCGTGGTGGTGCATGCCTGTAATCCCAGCTACTCAGGAGGCTGAGGAATGAGAATCACTTAAACCCAGGAAACAGATGTTGCAGTGAGTCCAGATGGCACCACTGCACTCCAGCCTAGGTGACAGAATGAGACTTTATTTCAAAAAAAATAAAACAGTAACTTCCCTTTGTTTCAGTAATTTGACTTCTAAGGGTGCATTTTAAGGAAACAATAAAGAGACCCAGAAAAAAGCTTTATGCATTAAGGTGCTTTTAAATAACATTATTATGTTATTTAAAACAGAGAGATAACAGCATAAACATACTGTTAGAACCTTAAAGGAGATATCTTTTATGTCTACTGAATTTCCACTGGAACTTGGTATTTATTTTCTAATTAAAAATAAGAAGGTCATATTCTACTACAGAGCTTAAACTGACTTCTGTAGATCTAATATAAATTTAACCATTTATACATTGGTAGAACTACTTTAAAAAACAATTTGTCATTATCTTATAAATATATGCATTCAAGTAACATACCCTGTAACCAAGAAATTCTGTTGTATATACTTTAGAAAACTGTTATACATGAAAACCTATCTTATCCATCTACTCTTCAAGAAAATCTGGTAGATTTAGATAAAAATTATGGTATAACAAATCTAGTATTATCAGGGTCAACTTTTAAATTTAAATGAACATCATGTATAAAAGGAAGAAGTTTCTCTTTCTTGTGTGGTTTTCGTCAGAATGGCTAAAATAATATAGACCTGCATTTATTAACAAAAAATATCAGAAACTATGTTGCCTTATTAATCTAGATTCAAATCATGGATACAGGTAAACTAATGTATTTATTTTTCATTCGTATCATTTATAGATAAATTCAAATGAACAAAGCTAACAACCCTAATTTATAACTTATAAAAATTTTAGGTTTCAAAAGATCATCTAGGTTAATCTTCCACTTATTTTACCTGAATATCCCATTTGTGGTGTCCAGCTTTTATAACCTGATCTCTGAGGATTTCCAGTAGACAATGGAGTTTTAAGTGTTTGAGGATAATTAGTTTCTCGTGCAGAAGATGAGCTTGCACCAAAAGTAAAATTTGATGCAAGTGTGTTTTCTACATAAGGTCTTTTGTTTCCAAAGTATGAACCTAAATTTGAAAAATTAAGAGTCAATTCTTAAAGATTTGAATTATACAGATATATTAATCATTATAATTTATACCATGTTTACTTTCTATAAAACATCATGTGAAAACGATTTTTTAAAATATAACAGATTATAACAAAATTAATGATATTATTGATAAATAATCTTATGTTAAAATATATTAATATAGCTTTTACCTCTACAAGTTCACCACAATTACTCTTGCTAAAATCATAAATTACCCTTTAATCTTCAAGTATACCAGATGTGTTACTATGATTTGAATATCTGTCCCCTAGAAAACTCACATTGAAATTTAATCCCCAATGTGGCAGTAGAGAGGTGGGGTCTTTAAGAGGCGATGCGTCATGAGGGCTCTGTCTTCATGAATAAATTAATCCATTCATGAGTTAGTAGATTAGTAGGTTACCATGGGAGTAGGACTGGTGGCTTTATAAGAAGAGGAACAGAGACCTGAGCTACCATGCTCAGCTCCCTCTCCATGTGATACCCTGTACCACTTCAAGATTGTACAGAGACTCCACCAGCACAAAGGCCCACACTAGATGTGCCTCCTTTGACCTTGGATTTCCCAGCCTCCAGATCTGCAAGAAACACATTTTCTTTCTTTATAAACTACCCAGTTTCAAGTATTCTGTTAAAAGCAACAGAAAACAGGCTAAGACATATGTTTCATTTGTATAATAATTATTAGACCTCTTTTAACCTTCTGTCAATTTCTTTATTGAAATTTTCTCCTCCCATTCAAATGGCATTGTAGAGTTTTAGACTCAACTGACTTCGGTTCCTTATTTAGGTACTTATCTACTGATGTAAGATATTACCTATTTTACAGCGTTGTCATAAAAGTTTTAAATAACATACATAAACAAACTAGCATAGCCTCTTGGCACATAGAAGTTCTAGAAAAAATTAAAAATGTTCAGGCTCTGTTCTCTTATTCTCTTTGATTTCCGCAACAACTCTGTATCTTGATTCTCTTTAAACCACTTTTAGTTTCCTTTGCCAACTCCTTTTTCCTCTGCCTCTTAACTGTTGGCCTCCAGGGCTTCATATTTTTAAGCCTTCCCTCATAAATCAACATTATACATTTCCTCTGAGCATCTCATCTCTCCTCTTTGTTTCTATTAACATCTACTTCCTGCCAGGCAAGGAGGCTTATGCCTGTAATCCCAGCACTATGGGAGGACTAGGAAGGTAGATCATGAGTCCAGGAGTTCGAGACCAGCCTGGCCAACATGGTGAAAACCTGCCTCTACTAAAAATACAAAAATTAGCTGAATATGGTGAGCCACCACGTCTGGCCCATAAGCTTTTAAATAAAAGGACCAGATGGCAAATATTTTAGGTTTTGTGGGCCATCTAATCACTGTCATAATTACTCAGCTCTGACACTATCTTAAAAACGCAGTCATAGATAATACATAAATGAGAATGACATGTTTCAATTAAAAATGACTTTACTTCTACATACTGAATTCTAAATTTCATATAATTTTAATATCATAAAATATTATTTTGATTTTTTAATCCTTTAAAAGTACAAAAAACATTCTCAGCTGCATTGTTCAATAAAGCAGCACATGTGGGCATTTAATTAAATCAAAATTAAATACAATTTAAATTTCCTCAGTCACACCAGCAACATTTTCAAATGCTCAAAAGCCACATATGGTTACTAGTTACCATATTGGACAGCATAAGTATGAAATGTTTCTATCATCACAGAATATTCAATCAGACAATGTATAGGTCACTATATCTATCTCTTGGCCATAAACCTTTAGGTATCTTCCCAGCATTCTAAATGTCCCTCAAAATTAATTACTTAGCCGGGCGCAGTGGCTCACACCTATAATCCCAGCACTTTAGGAGGCTGAGGCTGGTGGATCACGAGGTCAGGAGTTTGAGACCAGCCTGGCCAACATGGTGAAACCCCATCTCTACTAAAGATACAAAAAATTAGCCAGGCGTGGTGGCACAGGCCTGTATTCCCAGCTACTCAAAGGCTGAGGCAGGAGAATCACTTGAACTTGGAAGGTGGAGGTTGCAGGGACCTGAGATGGCGCCATTGCACTGCAGCCTGGGCAACAGGGCAAGACTCCGACTCAAAAAAAAAAAAATTAATTCTTTATTACCAGTATAGTCAATTGTACCAGTTTGTCCCTTGTCACTCAAGTCATAATAAGCTTAGGAGACATTCTCAACTCCTCCTTCCTCAACCCTAACATTCAGTGAGTGAGTCCTGGAATTCTTTTCTTTTTTTTTTCCCCTCCCCTCCCCACTCAGAATTCTTTTTTTTTTTTTTTTTTAACATCGCTAACATTTAAATCCCTGTCTACTCCTCCCAGCCCATTTTAAGCCTGTATCTTCTTTGGTCCTTATGCAAGTCTCACTTCTTCTTCTCCTTCTCCTTGCTTCCAGTATTATACCTCTCTAATCTATTCTTCACATCACCAGTAATCTTTCTGAAAAACAAATCTGATCAGGATCTCTCTTTCTTACAATTCCCATGTGTCTCCCCAAACCATAGGGTAAAATATAACTTCATTATATGGGTTCCAGCAGGAATCAATGATATACTCAAACTGGGATAATTTGATATAGAGAATATTTACAAAGATGTGGACAGGGTGTAGGGCTATTATCATAAAGAAGTTTGTAGAACCAACATAAAATGTTCTCCATTAGCATTCCTAGTTCTTGCGGAGCTAAGGATGAGAGTGGTTGCCAGAAACCGGACATGGAGAAACTGGAGATGGAGTGGGCTGTTTCTTTTTCTCAGGTGAACTAAAACTTTCAAATCTGGCCGGGCGCGGTGGCTCAAGCCTGTAATCCCAGCACTTTGGGAGGCCAAGGCAGGTGGATCACGAGGTCAAGAGATCGAGACCATCCTGGTCAACATGGTGAAAC